ATGTTTATTTCATCTATGTTGTCTATTTCAATCAGCTTCCATTTCCTGTGGTTTCTATTTCTCTCAGATCACCCATTACTTTAGTTTCTAATTCAATCAGTTAACTCATTCCCTGGTTTCTATTTAAATTAATTAATCCTATTTTCAGGTATCAATTTCAATCAATTAACCAATTAATGTGGTTTCCATTTTAGTCCGTTAACCCATTCTTTGGTTTTTATTTCAATCATTTAACTCGTCCGTTCTCGGACGAGATCACAACAGAATTAATATTGCCCTTTATGAAATATAATTATTATATTATTACATTATCATAAATATTAAATGCTCTTTTTAATATTAGTATATTAAAAACCAACGCTTTCCACTATCTTAACCAACGCTTTCCACTATCTTAACCAACGCTTTCCACTATCTTATACTCCCTCACTCTCTCCAACACCCACTATACACTCTCTCTCACTCTCTCCAACACCCACTATACACTCTCTCTCACTCTCTCCAACACCCACTATACACTCTCTCTCACTCTCTCCAACACCCACTATACACTCTCTCCAACACCCACTATACACTCTCTCTCACTCTCTCCAACACCCACTATACACTCTCTCTCACTCTCTCCAACACCCACTATACACTCTCACTCTCTCCAACACCCACTATACACTCTCTCTCACTCTCTCCAACACCCACTATACACTCTCTCTCACTCTCTCCAACACCCACTATACACTCTCTCTCACTCTCTCCAACACCCACTATACACTCTCTCTCACTCTCTCCAACACCCACTATACACTCTCACTCTCTCCAACACCCACTATACACTCTCTCTCACTCTCTCCAACACCCACTATACACTCTCTCTCTCACTCTCTCCAACACCCACTATACACTCTCTCTCACTCTCTCCAACACCCACTATACACTCTCTCTCACTCTCTCCAACACCCACTATACACTCTCTCTCTCCAACACCCACTATACACTCTCTCTCACTCTCTCCAACACCCACTATACACTCTCTCTCACTCTCTCCAACACCCACTATACACTCTCTCTCACTCTCTCCAACACCCACTATACACTCTCTCTCTCCAACACCCACTATACACTCTCACTCTCTCCAACACCCACTATACACTCTCTCTCACTCTCTCCAACACCCACTATACACTCTCTCTCACTCTCTCCAACACCCACTATACACTCTCACTCTCTCCAACACCCACTATACACTCTCTCTCACTCTCTCCAACACCCACTATACACTCTCTCTCTCACTCTCTCCAACACCCACTATACACTCTCTCTCACTCTCTCCAACACCCACTATACACTCTCTCTCACTCTCTCCAACACCCACTATACACTCTCTCCAACACCCACTATACACTCTCTCTCACTCTCTCCAACACCCACTATACACTCTCTCTCACTCTCTCCAACACCCACTATACACTCTCTCTCACTCTCTCCAACACCCACTATACACTCTCTCCAACACCCACTATACACTCTCTCTCACTCTCTCCAACACCCACTATACACTCTCTCTCACTCTCTCCAACACCCACTATACACTCTCTCTCACTCTCTCCAACACCCACTATACACTCTCTCCAACACCCACTATACACTCTCTCTCACTCTCTCCAACACCCACTATACACTCTCTCTCACTCTCTCCAACACCCACTATACACTCTCTCTCACTCTCTCCAACACCCACTATACACTCTCTCTCTCACTCTCTCCAACACCCACTATACACTCTCTCTCTCCAACACCCACTATACACTCTCTCTCACTCTCTCCAACACCCACTATACACTCTCTCTCTCCAACACCCACCACACTCCCATTCTTCATTATACTCCCCCTCCCTCATTCATCATTTAACTTTCCTTTCACATTCTTTATTATTCAACAGTTTTTATCTCCATACAAAAATTCATTATACGAAGGAAGACCACGGCATACGTCAGGCTGCGAGCAGCCGCGTCCAACAGCCTGGTTGATCAGTCCAGCAACCAAGAGGCCTGGTCGACGACCGGGCCGCGGGGACGCTTAGCCCCGAAAGCACCTCAAGGTAACCTCAAGGTAAGGCAGTGACACGCTGGAATATTGGGTGACGCAACATAGGGAAAAAGGGAAATACCTGCCATGGGAGCCGAAGGGAGATACCTGCCATGGGAGCCGAAGGGAGATACCTGCCATGGGAGCCGAAGGGAGATACCTGCCATGGGAGCCGAAGGGAGATACCTGCCATGGGAGTCGATGGTAGATACATCTGCCATGGGAGTTAATGGTAGATACAGCTGACATAGAGGTAGATATATACAGATGCGTCAGTCACGGTGGTAGATGCGCCAGTTATGGAATGAACTTTAGATATGGTCAATTATGGAGGTAGATGGTATAGATTCGCCAATAATTCACATAGTAGATACCTCAGTCATGGAGGCAGATGGTAGATACATCACTCTTACAGGTAGATGGTAGATATTTCAAGGGGGGGTAGATGCTTCAATCGTGGTATTATATGGAACATGGGTTATTCATGCGTGAATAATTTTTGTAATAGATGTAGATGGATGAGTCGTTTTAGTAGATGGTAGATGCGTCAATCGTGGTAGGAGATAGTAGATGCAAGAATAATAGTTCAGTCTAGATAATAGATGCGTCAATTGTGGTAGTAGATAGTAGATGCGTGAATAGTAGTTCAGTCATGGTAGTAGTAGATGAACCAACAGCAGCTCAATCATGGTAGTAGATAGATGATCACAGGGGATTCTACTCTCGCCATATCCAACAACCCGATCCTTGTTAAGTGAATGGAAGAGCCTCGTTAACGGGATCAAACAGCGTCGTTAACAGGATCTAAAACCTCGTTATAACGAGAACCAACAGCCTCGTTAAACGGAAGTACGAACCTCGGTAACCAACAAGCAACTTTCTCTTCAGAGGGAAGTAGCCAGCTCTTGAATAAATAGGAAGTGACTACATTTTTTAACGAGAAGGAGCAATCTCTTAGCGAGAAGGAGCACTCTCTTAGCGAGAAGGAGCACTCTCTTAGCGAGAAGGAGCACTCTCTTAGCGAGAAGGAGCACTCTCTTAGCGAGAAGGAGCACTCTCTTAGCGAGAAGGAGCACTCTCTTAGCGAGAAGGAGCACTCTCTTAGCGAGAAGGAGCACTCTCTTAGCGAGAAGGAGCACTCTCTTAGCGAGAAGGAGCACTCTCTTAGCGAGAAGGAGCACTCTCTTAGCGAGAAGGAGCACTCTCTTAGCGAGAAGGAGCACTCTCTTAGCGAGAAGGAGCACTCTCTTAGCGAGAAGGAGCACTCTCTTAGCGAGAAGGGGGAATCTCTTAACGAGGAGCATCGCACCGTTAACGAGACAGCGTTCTTGTAGCGAGATTCTTCCCCCTCTCTCCTAATACGTCGCATATATGACGCAATCGTCCAATCCGTTACAAAAACCGACGTATAGGTACAATTAGAAGCACTCTAATATTGACGTCTTCAAGGCATCGGGCCTCGATTTGTTAAGTTTTTTTTTTTTGAGTTCCTAAGCGTCTTGTAAGGTTCTACAGTTTCCATTTTTGACGTTTTTTCTGTGGCAAAACAATTGCCTTTTTTACGTTCCTGGTTATGGAAAACAGTTGCATTTTTTATGGAGTGGAAAATCGAGAAAACGGGCTGCTTAGAGAGCAGGCTTTGAGGGATTTACCAGGGAAAAGCGCCAAGCTATATACGACTTTATAGCACTTGGAAGGGATCAGGATAAGGGTTTGGGATGGGACGGGGGTGGAAAGAAATGATACCCAACCACTTGTGGGATTGAACGCCGTCCTGCATGAAGCGAGACCGTTGCTCTACCGTCCAGCCCAAGTGGTTGGGAGCAGGCTTTTAGAGAAGCATCTATCCTTAATGGCTCCTCAATTCAACCGGTTCTCGCCTTTAATACATCTCTTTGTAGACGATTATGATCAGACCAGAACGCTGCAAATTAGACGTTGTAAAGCGCGGGTTAATATTAGCGCCGTTAAAGCGGCGACCTTAACCTCCTTGACAAACATGGTGGTTGATGTTTGGGACTAATTACCGGGTGGCGTAATTGATGGAGATAGTTTGATGGTTGGAAGCTCAGGTTAGATATCTATATGAATGAGTGGGTCAGTAGGAGCTGCTTCGTATGGGTCAAAAGGAGCTGCCTCCTATGGGTCAATAGGAGCTGCTTCCTATGGGTCAATAGGAGCTGCCTCGTATGGGTCAAAAGGAGCTGCCTCCTATGGGTCAATAGGAGCTGCTTCCTATGGGTCAATAGGAGCTGCCTCGTATGGGTCAAAAGGAGCTGCTTCGTAAGGGTCAATAGGAGCTGCCTCGTATGGGTCAATAGGAGCTGCCTCGTATGGGTCAATAGGAGCTGCCTCCTATGGGTCAATAGGAGCTGCTTCCTATGGGTCAATAGGAGCTGCCTCGTATGGGTCAAAAGGAGCTGCTTCGTAAGGGTCAATAGGATCTGCCTCCTATGGGTCAATACCTGCCCCGTAAGGGTCGACAGGAGCTGCCATGTATGGGTCAATAGGCGCTGCCTCCTATGGGTCAATAGGAGCTGCCTCGTATGGGTCAAAAGGAGCTGCTTCGTATGGGTCAATAGGAGCTGCCTCCTATGGGTCAATACCTGCCCCGTAAGGGTCGACAGGAGCTGCCATGTATGGGTCAATAGGTGCTGCCTCCTATGGGTCAATAAGAAACACACAGGGGACGCTTCAAGGCGAAATAAAATCAACAGGCAACTAAAAGCACACGAAACAATGTGAAAACAGGGACTAACGAATGAGAATGAGTCAAATAGAAGGAGAATGAGAAGAGAATATAAGAAAACAAATTATACTATTCCAGGATAAACAGTAGTGATTTCTCACTAATTATTTTATCCTTACTGTCCGTAATTACAGCTCTCCGCCTCCCTCATTACCTGATTCATCCTAACCTATTCCTGTTCCATCCTAGCATCCCTATGTTCCATCCCAGCATCCACCTGTTCCATCCCAGCATCCACCTGTTCCATCCCAGCATCCACCTGTTCCATCCCAGCATCCACCTGTTTCATTCCAGCATCCACCTGTTCCATCCCAGCATCCACCTGTTCCATCCCAGCATCCACCTGTTCCATCCCAGCATCCAGCTGTTCCATCCCAGCATCCCCTGTTCCATCCCAGCATCCACCTGTTCCATCCCAGCATCCACCTGTTCCATCCCAGCATCCAGCTGTTCCATCCCAGCATCCACCTGTTCCATCCCAGCATCCAGCTGTTCCATCCCAGCATCCCCTGTTCCATCCCAGCATCCCCTGTTCCATCCCAGCATCCCCTGTTCCATCCCAGCATCCCCTGTTCCATCCCAGCATCCCCTGTTCCATCCCAGCATCCCCTGTTCCATCCCAGCATCCCCTGTTCCATCCCAGCATCCCCTGTTCCATCCCAGCATCCACCTGATCCATCCCAGCATCCTCCTGATCCATCCTAGCATCCCTCTGGTCCATCCTAGCCACCATAGCTTAGGTTCGTAAGCTTCTGGTTAGCCAAAAACACCTCTAATTTGATGCTAAAATATCCTGAGAAACACAAGGTGTTACGGACAATATCCTGAGGGGCACAAGGTGTTAGGATTAGAACTCTGTGACATTCTGGTGTTCTAGTGTGTGTGTGTGTGAAGGCACCAATAGAGTACCTGGCACTTCCACATCTAGGATGAAGTCTGGAGGGTGATGCTGTGCCAAACTGCGCCGCTTTGACACTTAAATGGCTTTATTGTAGCCTGACAGCTGAGTGGAGAGCGCTTCGGATTCGTAGTTCTGAGGCTCCGGGTTCGACCCCAGGTGGAGGCGGAGACAAATGGGTAAAAATGTTCTTTCACCCTGATGGCCCTGTTATCTAGCAGTAAATAGGTACCTGGGAATTAGACAGCTGCTACGGGCTGCTTCCTGAGGGGTGTGTAACCAAAAAAGGAGGCCTGGTCGAGGACCGGGCCGCGGAGACGCTAAGCCCCGAAATCATCTCAAGAATCAAGATCACAAGATCATCAGGTCTCCTCTGACAGGATGCTGCATGGGCCCTCAACCTGGCTTCTCTTGTGTAGTTCAGGCGAGGAGACAATGGTGGTGGTGGTTGTTAAAGTTGTGGTAGATGGTGGTGGTGGATAGTGGTGGTTGAAGGTGGTGGTCGACGGTAGATGCTGGTAGCGCTGGAGATGGTGAAGATGGATGGTGATTGAATGCCAGGAGAAGCAATGACAAGTGATAGAGCATTGCATAGAGTGAGAGGCGTTGTATCTAGGCCATGATCACACCAAAAACTATCGATTCAGCCTCAGATACGACCAACCCTTGTGACGTCACCACGAGGTGACCAGTTGATTGACAGTTGAGAGGCGGGACCAAAGAGTCAAAGCTCAACCTCCGCAAGCACAATTAGGTGAGTACTGCAACGTTCAGTCACCAGTGTTGGAAACGATACAAGATGCAAGTCCTAATTAAAAAAAAAAACTTTCATGCCAACATTTCCACCCAAGCGGTTGCAACCCAACCCCGCCAGCGGTTGCAACCCAACCCCGCCAGCGGTTGCAACCCAACCCCGCCAGCGGTTGCAACCCAACCCCGCCAGCGGTTGCAACCCAACCCCGCCAGCGGTTGCAACCCAACCCCGCCAGCGGTTGCAACCCAACCCCGCCAGCGGTTGCAACCCAACCCCGCCAGCGGTTGCAACCCAACCCCGCCAGCGGTTGCAACCCAACCCCGCCAGCGGTTGCAACCCAACCCCGCCAGCGGTTGCAACCCAACCCCGCCAGCGGTTGCAACCCAACCCCGCCAGCGGTTGCAACCCAACCCCGCCGGCGGTTGAGTGACCTTTGAAACGTTCTCCTAAAAAAAGAAAAAAAAATCCGAATGCAATATCAAACTTCGAAATTATTCATGAATTCATTGCAAATATCAAATCAGTGAGTGTTTGCCTTATAACCAGGTAATTAATGATGAATATATATACCTTCCTTTTAAGTTGACAGAAATGCGTGTAAAGTCTAAACTATTGACTACAAGAGCTTGATTCTCGTCCTTATAGAGAGGTTTCCGTCGCGCGAATTGAAAATCTATATAAACGAAGTTTGAAAGGAAGTACCCGGATGTACACGAGTGTCAGATGTTGTTATATAAAGCAGAGCTCTGCTAATGGGCAATTAGCCTGTGTCGCTTCTGTTTTGATGCTTTAGTATGTAAGTCAGCAAACTTGTGTATTTAAAATAAGCAAGTTAGTTGAACTAATTTGTGTATGTTAAATCTTGAGCTGTATGATTTAGTCTTCCGTGCAAATATGGGGAGTTTCCTGGTCACTCATTGGCAGGGTGAGGGGCCCCTGGACACTCATTGGCAGGGTGGAACACCTGGTCCCTCAATGACAAGGTGAGGCACCGACATGATTGCACATCATGACACAATAGGCCTACTGCATATTATGGGACTGGCATAACATCCTCTTTATAGTGTTTTGGAGAATATCTTTTTATAAGATTTCTAAATACTGTTTTTATGTTTGTAAAATATCACAAAAGGGCCTTGTTAAGGAATTAAGAAACAGACGGTCAAAAATGATAAAAAACGTACCATTTCGTGTATATAGCCAGATTCCTGCATTTATTCACAGTTCAATATGTATCTATAATCACTTATACAAAAGCTTTACCTTGTATAACCTCATAATTTTACAATATTCCATTTACATTTTATTTGCGATATAATGTATTCTGTTACCCCAGGTATTACACATAACCCCCATGTGATACAAAATATATAGATATACAAGATATATAGTTTCCTATATGATACAAGATTATCGTGTAATCTTAATTCCAAGTGTAATCACAGTCTTGAAGCATTGTTTAACTCTGGACTATTATGAAGTTGTTTTAACATTATCAAGTTTCTTATCACCGTTATTAGGTCGTCTTGCTAAATCTTGGGCTTCGGAGTTTGTAAACTGTTTAATAAGTAAAAACAAAGCCTCTGAACATTGAGAGAAGATGCACAGGTGTGTTAGTTGTTGCGTAAATCCTTGAGGTAATCTGGCTCCAGTGGCCATTAATCCCCCCAGATTACCCAGAACCTAAACCACTGTTGATCCAGAGAAGGGCCACTTGACGGATAATCAAACGTCCACCTGATCCATCCCCCCCTTCCCCTCATCTCAGGTGTCATCTCCGGCCTATGGTAAACGTCTCTCCACGCTATAGGTCAGGGTCCCAAGTGGCTCCGCTCAGAGACACTTCAGGGAACCAAAGAGCCAAAGCTCAAAGAGCCAAAGCTCAAACAGCCAAAGCTCAAAGAGCCAAAGGACCAAAGAGCCAAAGCAAGCACAACTAGGTGAGTACTTCAACATGTTACAAGACCAAAGACCACATTCACTCCAATCATCTATTCCATCTGCCACATTCACTCCAATCATCTATTCCATCTGCCACATTCACTCCAATCATCTATTCCATCTACCACATTCACTCCAATCATCTATTCCATCTACCACATTCACTCCAATCATCTATTGCACCTACGGGCTATTCATGCCCGTGCCACCTCTTGTTGTGGCTTAATCTATGTCAATCAATCAGTGGCTAAGCTGTTTGTCCTTTCAAATTATTATAGGCCCCAGGTTCGATTCCTGCGGTAGGATGGGTACGCATATGTACCTTTAATATCAGATATATCTCGCTCTCTCTCTCTTCACCCAACAAGAAATAGGTTCGGGTGACTCGGGAAACTGTTGTGGCTGGCATCCTAGGGAAGGAAAAATGTATAACCTTACCTTGTGCATCCAGTTTATTGATGTTGTTTGTGGCATTCCATTCATTCATGGTTTAGTGTGACACTTTTTCATTCATGTTCTATTTCTCATTGCAGTCGAGGTGGCTTGCGTTTTTGACTTACAATTGGGGGATCCCGGGCTCGAATTCCGGGCGGGACAGAAATGGTCGGAGAAGTTTTCTTTCACCTGATGCATATGTTTAACCTAACAGTAAATAGGTACACCTGGGAGTTAGGCAACTGTTGTGAGGCTCCACTCTGGGGAATGACGATAGTTCGACCTTGAAAAAATCTCGATACTAACCAATGGTGTATAGTGACAAATTATATCATATTAGTTTATAATATTATATATACATATTATACACACACACACATACGCAGTCTTCATGTCTCCGATAAAGATAATAATTTATCCAGCAGTGAAATACTATTTCATTATTCCTAGACAACATCACATTTTCAAACTTCTCTTTACAAATATTATCCCCCTTGCTAAATGAAGTCAGGAAACGGGCACAGACTGGTGTCCGTTTCCTGACTTCGGGGGGCTGAAAGAACCACGTAGTTCTTACTCACCATTATCATGATGAATGAGCGGATCAAAAATTCGAATCACAATGCAAATCAAATAAAAAAGTCATTAATAAATCATTTTACACCTGTAATTGAGGTAATACAAAATTTCGGTTCATTGTTAAGCATTTAGAGATAGTAATGCTAATTCTATACCACATAATCAGAATAATTATATTAGATTTAGAATTTGAACTGGTTTTCACGCTTTAAAGATTTACTACAGCGTTGCTTTTGACTCACTGTCTACATGCGTGATTGGATTCAATATGTTGCGTTGAATTGCCCATTCAGGGAACGAATGGGCTAGTTTCAATCTTTGTTATAATGTCAGTCAATAACGGCGCGCTTGACAAGGTGCTTCATTATAGACGTTTACGTCTCTGCGAGTAATGGAAATTTTTACAGCGAAGTGTTTCGGCTGTTATGAATAGATGTGTGTTGCCGAGGCCTAGTCGTTCTCTAATCCTCGGTCACTGATCTTCAATTGTTTTTCATATACACACACATCCTCGGCCGATGTATCTCTGTGTGTCTCTCTCTCTCTCTCTCTCTCTCTCTCTCTCTCTCTCTCTCTCTCTCTCTCTCTCTCTCTCTCTCTCTCTCTCTCTCTCTCTCTCTCTCTCTCTCTCTCTCTCTCTCTCTCTCCTCTCTCTCACAAATCCACGTCCTCTCTCAAGCACATACATTATTACCCACATTTCTCACCCTCAGCTCTCCCTGCCAGCAGGATTATTCTCACTGGGCGATAAACCTACGCCAAGATAATTCAAGGTTCCAGAACTGAGACGGTCACACACACACACACACCAGACAGGCTGGATTATTCCAGCTGGAGACGCGGGTTGATGATTAGTCATTAGCGCTGGATAGGCCTGTTACGACAGATAAGCCAGTTGGATTAAAGTCAGCCTACTTATAAGCCTAGCTTTATAAATAGGCTTTATAAACCGACTATTGCTAGATAAGAGAGTATTGGGCTTAGGAAGCCAGCATCGCTTCACTAAACAGAAGGGTTTAATAAGCTAGTAGGGCTTATTAAGCAATTAGCGCATCCCAAGACAGACTGGCTTGGTAAGCCAGTTAGGCTTGAT